ATAGAAGTGGACTCATCGGTTTGTTACTAAATACTGATGATTGACTGAAAAATGCGATTAACTTGTTTAAGGATGCGGTGCTCCAGTATCTTGGAAAGGGATGGCAGGATTGAGATAGGTCTATAATGGGCTAGATGTGAAGGATCGAGGCAATTTCGGAGCTACGCGCTATACGGGCGTTTTATTGGTTGTCACTTTCATAATTCTTCAAAAATTTGTATTCTTTTTCCCCGATAAGAGCAAAATAAAGGTCGACGTCTGAAAAAATTAGAGAAACTGGAAGAAACCATATCAGGTGTTACCATGTGACACCAGTGCGTTCCTTAGGAGATCCCAGAGTCCCTCCAAACGTACAGAAGGTTGCCACCTTATGGATATGAAGATGTATCTACACTGACATGATGATCGCTGTTGGCAGTATAAATTATATGTTGGCAGTATCTGTCAGACTTTTAAGAAGAGTGTACTTGATCAATTGCTAAATTCAAAAAAGTTGTTAAAGGACGTTTGTGTGTTAAAAAGCAATTACAATATGAGTGATTATTTAAATGATAACACACCCTGGAAATGGGTTGATCGCCCCACGCGTATTTTAAGTGGACTTTAATATATTGTAAACATGTTTCTTTGCCATAAAAATCGACATAATGGTAAAAAAAATGTCCTGCTGAGTTTTCTCTTGTTTCTGTTATTACTACGCAGTCTAGTTGTGGGTAGAGTTAATTTACGTTTGTTCCTTGTATTTAAATCATGCACATTACCATGTGTTGAAAATTCATTCTTATTTTTATACACATACGTAACATTTTCAAGTGTGTACTTAGAGGCAACAGTCAATATTTTAATGCCAAAGGCATTATCTTTGTGCAAGTCAATGTTAAAAATTTCTTTATTCAATGTAATTATTCAATGTAAGCTTAATTTAAGCTCTTAATGATCATCAAAAAAAACTACAACCGGTTCACTAAACTGGACCTGACCAGAGAAGAACTGGCAAGAAACTCTGCGGTCTTGTTGTCTCTTTTTGTTTCTTTAGTAGTATAATTATACAAACTTATTAAGGTGTAAAATCAGAAGCAGCCAGGGGTCTTGCAAATGCCCCTCCGACCGGGTTCCCGCCTTGACGTGGCGGAGGGGCTTAGTAGCCGTGGCTTGGTCACCCACGGCGAAGCTAAGAGGAACCCACACTGGGCCGGCCTGCGGTGTAAGGCCGGCCCGAGAGGGCCGCTCCGAGTGAGCTCATTAAGCCTACTCTGGATGCGTGCTGGAGGGTGCAGAGGACAGGTCGAGGGTGGTAGAGGTGGAGCCACTCTCCCTGTCTTCTGCTACCGAGGAGGAGTCGCGGGGGAAGAGGAGTGTCGGTATTGCGTTGGCTGTGCTCCTTATCCTCCGCGACTCGGCGGGGTTGCAACGCTGATGCTGCTGTGGTGGGGCCGCGGAGGGAGAGGAGTGTCGGTATTGCGGTGCGCCGTTCTCCCTATCCTCCGCGGCCGAAACGTGGTGAGCGGCGGAGCCATAGACCAGGTCCGCCGCTGGGGGCTGGGAGGCTTGCTGCTTATTAGCACTGGCTCTCCTGGCTCCCATGGCCCCAGTCAGCGAACTCGGGGGAGTTCGTTGGCCGTGAAAATGGTGCCGAGTAGGAAGGCGCGCTGAATGTTCCAGCGCGCCTTACCTGGAGGAGAGGGGAGTTGCTCCCCGTGAGGGGGCTGCTAAGGCGGCCAGCGCTGGCAGGGTCGCGGAAGTGTGCGAAAGCGTTGCCGTGACCCTGCCGATATGCGCCTAGGTGTAACATCGTGGGGGTTTTAGTCGGTGCGAGTCCGACATAACCCGCTCTTGCCCCCGCAAGGGCGGGTATGCGCAGGCATTTCCCCTACGTCAACAAAAAAAAAATAAGGGGTCTTGCAAATGCAGAGCAAGAGTCATTTTCACATCCTAGTCCTCAATGTATTCTTGGACATTGTAATAGTTCCTTGGGATTGGGGCAGGTTAGCTTTTCAAAATGTTTGAAATCGTTTATACTTAGTCGTTTGTGGATGCATCAAAATAATAATAATAATAATAGATCTTTATTGGTCTAAAATCACAAATAATGTAGTTTATTAACGTTACAAGTAATTTAAATTACAATTATACACCGATATTCTACCCCAACAGAACACTATTAATATTACAATTATTGAAAACAAAATCATAATAATAATGGGAAAAAATAACAATAGCTAAAAACTTCACCATGAAATTAAAACATATCGTTATAATGAGTTCATTATAATGATAAATGTCATCTGCAATGTAACTTAGAACGAATTTATGGTTTTAGCCAGTCTAAACCAGAGTGTTAGCACGGCCCCGACGCGATGTGGAATGTTTTTTGTAAAAAGGTGAATTTTATTACGTGCATAATGATGTTCTTGAGAATGTGCAGCGAAGGAAGCGTTAAAACGTTTATTTGATTAAAAATATACCGTAGTGACTCACGTGGACTCAAGCCATAGACAGCCCGTATTGCCTGAAATGAATTCGTACAGTACTTTAAAAGTCTATGGTAATGGTAAGACCATTTACAACTGTACAACTGTAATTTTAGTGTTTTACATGCCAACTCTAAGTCAAAGTCAAAGTCAAAATTTCTTTATTCAACATTACTGGCTTATTTTAAGCTCTTATTGAACGTCAAAAACTACCACCGGTTCACTAAACTAGACCTGCAAGAGAAGAACCGGCAAGAAACTCTGCGGTCATATATGTATATTTTATTTCTATTTTTTTTTAAGTATTTAAGTATACACACAAAATTATTTTAGTATAATTTAGCAGGAGCCAAGGGACTTGCAAGTGCAGAGCAAGAGTCATTTCCACACATCCTTGTCCTCAATGTATTCCTCGACATTATAATAAGCCCTTTCCATTAAGGTGGCTTTTACAAAATGTTTGAAATTATTTAAACTTAATTGTTTGTGGATGTCACCTATTCTATTATATAAATTAATACATCTACCAAGAAACGATTTCCTGGTTTTAGCTAGTCTAAACCTCGGTATTTCCAACGTGTCACCACGGCCCCGACGCGATGTGGTATGTTTTTTTGTAAAATGTAGTTAGTTATTTCGTACATACATGATTTTCTCAAGTATGTATAGCGACGGGAGCGTTAAGATGTTTATTTTTTTTTAAATATGCCGAAGGGCCCGTATCGCTTGCTTTTGCAATACAAATATCGTGTTTAAACCGGATGCGGAACCCCAAAGTAAGACACCATAAGACATAATACTGCGAAAGTAAGCATAATAAACTAATTTAGCTGTTGCCTCGTTTGTTAGTTGCCTGATCTTGCGTATGGCAAAGACGGCAGCGCTGAGCTTTTTAGCTTATTTATCTATATGCGCTCCCCATTGCAACTTGGAGTCAATGCATATTCCAAGGAATGCCGTTGAATCCCCAAGAGGTAGGATGTTGTCATCAATAAAGATTCCTGGTTTGTGAGACAGCTTTGATAATGAAAATCTGATACATTTAGTCTTAGTGGCGTTCAAAAGTAAATTATTGGTCGCAAACCAGCCCGACACAACACTTAGTATTTCATTTGGTTGTTCTAATGCAACACCTAAAAACAGTGAGGTGTCATCCGCAAACAAAACGATTTGAGACCTTTTTTCTACCACATATGGCAAATCATTTATGTAGACTAAAAACAGAAATGGGCCCAGGATCGATCCCTGGGGAACACCCATTTGTACTATTCATCCCGATGATAGTATACCATTTATAGTTACTTTTTGTTCCCTATCGCTAAGATATGAGGAAACAAAATTAATGGCAGATTTCCGAATACCATAATATTCCAATTTCTTAATAAGAATCTTATGATCTACACAGTAATCTACACAGTCTAAGCCTCGCCTTTTAGTTTTAGAAGCGCGGTGGAGACACTGTGTCCAGATTTTAATCCAAATTGAAGTGGACTCATCGGTTTGTTATTAAATACTGATGATTGACTGAAAAATGCGATTAACTTGTTTAAGGATGCGGTGCTCCAGTATCTTGGAAAGGGATGGCAGGATTAAGATAGGTCTATAATGGGCTAGATGTGAAGGATTGAGGCAATTTCTAGAGGCAAGAGCTACGCGCTATACAGGCGTTTAATTGGTTCTCACTTTCATAATTCTTCAAAAATTTACTTTTGTATTTCCCCGATAAGAGCAAAATAAAGGTCGACGTCTGAAAAAATTATAGAAACTGGAAGAAACCATATCAGGTGTTACCATGTGTTACCATGAACAGCCGGAAATCACACCTTGGGATTGAATGTGTAAGGGATAGCATAAATCAGAGAATAGATATCCGTGCTAGGGCCATATACATGGTAGGGACACTTAGCAGTCTTTTCTGTTGCACGAACTGGCAGGACACAGAGTCACAGTCACGTCACAGAATCTGGTGAGTGAGGTAGCCAGGGTTCACTTTATTATAAGATGGCAACGCACTTGCAACCCTACGGGTTTTGAAAATGTCAATGGGCGGTGGTTAGCACTTAACATCAGATGAACTATCAGTTCGTTTACCACCTTCTCACATTAAAAAAAAGCCAACTAAGTAGGGTTGGCACAACACGTGAATCATCTTATTAAGATGGGTGTTAGCTGTATTCCTTGGTAATTATCACCCAGATTCAGAATACTTGTGTGAGCTACTCACACAAGTATTTGTAATAAATGGGAAACGAACCGACGAATTTACACATTACGTCACCGAGTTAATTATCACATTAATTTTCATTATTTTCGTTAATAAAAAGCCAAAAAATTTGTCCATTACACTATGATCTGTTAAACAGCCCTGGACAATATTTAAGGCATGACGTTGAGTGAAATAAAACCAGTTATACGATTTAACTTATTTTAATTGGTCATCGAATATTTTTTTATCGTCTATTGAGGTCTTCTGGGTTCATAGAATTCTAAAGTTATTAATCTGTGTAAGTCTTAGGTTAAGGGGGTTTAGTGAATGGGGTATTGGCAAACCCCATTGCAATTGGGAGGCACCTCGCCGGGTCGCAGTTTGCAGATCCTGTTCCCGCAGACATACTCCCCTTTCTTGAGGTTCATCTCAAGCTGAGATAGGGCTCGCGGCGCTGTTGACAACAAGGAGGGTATTAAGTTTATTTATTTATTTATTTACTTCACCAACAATATACACATCAAAACAAGCTTAAAATATAAATAAGTACATAGTATCTTCAACTAAATGGTATCTCTAATCTAATTACAGGTGAAACGACATTCAAAAGTTATTATATTGACAACAGCTGCTAAAAAAAGAATAATAAAAAAATGATAAAATGATAATTGAAGTATGCTAAATACTAACAAAGAATGAATACACTAGTTGACTGACTTATCACTAAAATAAACATATAATCAAAACAGAAAATAACAGCATTTTTAAAAAAATAACAAAAAAAGAAAACTGTAGAGATAAAGAAGAAATTTATTCTAATTAAATAAAAAACTGTAAGTGGACAGATTTCTCTTGAACTTTTCTATACTGTCGTAAAAATGTCTATGGTCATATAAGTACCAGACAATTTATTGTAAGTTTTTGACAAACGGTTGAGTGATAAGTTATTGCCAAGATTCGTTTTAGACCGATGAGTTACAAACATTTTTCTGACTTTAATGCGTTTCAATCTAGAGGGAGCTGCTAAATTAATACGTGTCAAAAGTTCAGGACAATCCAATGCACCGTTGATAAGTTTATACAAGAACAGGTTGTCTAATATACATCTTCGCTCGACGAGTGTTTTCATTTCAAAATGATTTAGCCTGTCACTATAGGTAGGTAGTTTTTTTGCTAAACCATATTTATACGCTAGATTGTGTAGAAAGTTTCGCCTAACGGTAGTAAATCATCAATCAAAATCATGCTATTGACAAGAATCAGTGCGATATCGAGCACTCGAAAAATACTGTTGCAACTCAAAAATTCTATTTTTTCGAGGGAGCTGATCGTTTCACGAAAATATTAAATTCTAACGCCTCTCTTAAATATAGCATTAATATTGTCTTTGTTTTTATTTAATTTTCATCAAAAAAAAAAAGGCATAAGTTATAAAAATTTAAACATTACTAAATTTCAATCAGCTCCATTGAAAAATATCACTTTTGATTGCAAGAGTTTTCTTCCAAAGCGGCGCTACGTAAAGTAGTTTTCCTCCTCAAAACTGACTTTTAAAGATTTCCGTACTGTGTCTAACGAACCTTGGGTATGCCCCTTCGCGGGCAATCCTTCGGCGGACCTCCGGATGCGGGAGTTGAAGGCTCTGAGGATGTACGCCCCGAAACCAGAGCACAGCACTAACGCGAAAACCAGGAGTAAAAACTGAAACATCACCATCTCTTAAAATCTAAACAAAAACTTTATATTTGTCTCCGCTTTAAAGACAAGTGTATAGTTTTTTTTTTTATGTTAACGCGAACGCCATACATTGTTAAATGAAACTTATATACGGATATTATTCAACTGTGGTAGAGCCACGCAGCAGCCTCTGCTGTTGTACAAATGGGCAGGCTCGTCCGGGTAAGTACCACGACCTCACAAAAGACCGGCGTAAAGTGGAAGTATAATACTTTCGCGTTTCGTCTGGTGAGTGAGGTAGCCGGAGCCCAAGTTTCAATAGTTTGTCAACGGATCTGTAACCCTCGGGTGTATCAGATGTCCATGGGCGGCGGTATTTAGTTAGTTCACATCAGCTGAACCGCCTGCTCGCTAGACATAAAAAAAGTTATTATTTGTTTGAAACTTCAATTCTACTACAAGAAACTGCGTTCATAATTATTATATATGCTTTTTAAATTGTTAGTAATTTAGTAGTGTCGACTTGGAAAACACCTGCCTTGATAATTTTAAGAACTCTGTTCAATTTTGAAAGCGTTAATATGAGGAGAATAAACTAAATGAAGCACAAGTAAATAGATTAACTAAAACTTAATTAAGTAAAAATAATTTAATTCTCTAACGTGTTTTTATACGAATTCAATATCTTCTCTGATACTTTTTATACATTTTCCTTAAAAATTATTGATTCAACCATCATTTAACTTCTCTATTCTCCGCCATAGACGAAAAATATGCAAGTAGAATACAGATAATTTCCTTAAAATTTTATTGAGCACAAATAACAGCTCAGTGTTTCCAGTCAGTCCTTCTCTACATGGATCTAATTTGATGAAACTTTGTGCTGCCATTGCAAGATATGCTTAGAATAACTGTTATTTTAACGTGAAATATTCGATAACAAAGATCAGATAACGGTAAACTTATATTATTAAAAATTCTCGTTAGTGAACCAGTGGTAGTTTTATGATGTTCATTTAGAACTTAAAATGAGCCTATAATGCAGAAAGAAATTTTAACTTTGTCTTTGACTTTGGTACACGATTCAGCTTTCATAAGCATCACTATGCTTGAAACCCATCGTTGACAGATAGTTTGATGACAAGTTTAAATTCTGTTTGACTGTAACCGAATACGTAATTACGTAAACCACTTGACAATGAACTTTTTTAAACTACATTATCGTGGACGATATTGTTTCTTAAGATTCTTTGTGTTATAGCAAACAGACTACGCATGTGTCATGGGATACGTGTAAATGATTCAGGTATGACCAGCGCGCTAACTCATTTGAGGTCATCGACTGACATTGATTTGGAAAATATGTACTATCGTTAACTATTTATATCATTCGATTATAAATGCGACCAACATATAGTAAATAAAAGGTCAACATATTTTGTATGACAACAGACAGTGGTATCGACTGAACTACGACCTTCCTCTTAATTGCACGTATGCAGCAAATCAATAGCTCCAACTACTGTTAAGCCCAGTTTTATAATCTATCTCTAAATAACAAGTGAAGAGTTTTATAAAACATTCGTTATTTTGGGATATCCAAAGCAGATTGGTTCGTATTTTATTAATTTAATTCTACTTAAAACATGTTCACGATTGATCATTCGCACATAAATCATACGATTTTATTAATATACAGATTGGTTCGTATTTTATTAATTTAATTCTACTTAAAACCTGTTCACGATTGATCATTCGCACATAAATCATACGATTTTATTAATACACGATCGATGACTTCAAATCTACGCATTGTGTTTGGTAATAATAAAAAAAATGTTGTTTACTTAGAAAACTTAATACCATAGAATAATTTTGATAGCTTTATTATAGTTATTTATTGAACAAATTAAACAAACGCAGATATAAAAGGCATGATAAAAAAAAGGAAAACAAAGTGATTGTAAGCAAATACTGAATAGAGTACGGCTAACCAGAAACTTGTTTTGGAACACAGAAAACGCGAATAAACATAACCTAGTAAAATATGGAACACAAAATACAATCGTGTGAATTATTTTATACTGTGTATCATTTATTGGATTTATCGAGTTAAATACATATAGCTAATTATAATTCTTATTATTCCGTAATGGACATACCGTGAATCGCATGTTGGCAGCCGTTGTGTTCTCTCGTACAGACTGAGAGAGCCGAAGCGGTATATAAGCGGTTTCACTAAGTTGTCTATAGTGTAGTGACACCACATTTTATTGCTAAATTAGCGGACAGGCTTACTTTGCCGACAGTGAATTTTTGGAGTTCCGTACCCAAAGGGTGAAACGGATTTATCGATGGAAAGAATAAAGTATTGAATTGAATGAAAGAAATAATGGAAAATTTTGAGTAACGTTGTTTCAAGGTCCTCTGTGAGCAATTGAATAAATGTAAAAATCTCTTAAATTGTTATGGGTAGTAGCATCTATCAAATAGACCAGAATAGCCCCGGGTTTGATACTTAATCTACAGGATTCGGATTCGAACCTGATTCTTATACTGATGAGGATACTGCCTTAGGAAGTTCACCATTAATAATAGTGAATAAATTTGCAATGACTGTGTTTTTGTTTCATAGTGATGTTGACTCAAATTCTATTGATTTTAAAATTTAAAATTACACAGGTAGTGTAATTGTCTAAATCGATTCAATATTTTCACAATACTGGTCGTATTAATTTGACAACTGTCATTCTAATCAAGCTCGGAAAGCTTCGAACTATTTTAAGTTTCAAATGAATCTCATTTCTAAGACACATTCTAATCAAAATAAAAGTAATATCAGCCTATACATGTCCCACAGCTGGGGAAAGGCCTCCTCTGTATAGAGGGTATCAGAGCATAGTCTACCACGCGGCCCCACTGCGGATTGGCGGACTTCACATCTTTAACGGTGGTAGGGCCACGCTGCAGCCTCGGCTGTTGCACGAATGGGCAGGCCCGTCCGGGTAAGTACCACGACCTCACAGAAGACCAGCGTAAAGTGGAAGTATGACAAATACTTTCGCGTTTCGTCTGGTGAGTGAGGTAGCCGGAGCCCGATTTTCAAAAGGTTGTCAACGCATCTGTAACCCTCGGGTGTGGCAGATGTCCATGGGCGGCGGTATTCACTTAACATCAGGTGAACCGCCTGCTCGTTTCACAACTTTTCGCATAAAATAAAAAAAATAAATAAATAAATAATAAAAAATCTCCGAAATAGTTTTTTTGTTATTACTTCGAAAATATGCAGGTTTCCTCACGATGTTTTCCTTCACCGCTGAGCATGTAATCAAGATATATTTTACGAACTATTTTATTTTTTTAATTAATCTCACTTCTTAGACAGTCCGTAACAACCAAGAAGGCTTGGCCACTCTATATCTCGTTTGAAGGCTGTGACGTTTGTAAACCACAGAAGCTCATGTGTTAAGAAATCATAACTCGATTAATGATAAAAAAGAAATTAAAGTAGCGATAAATGAACAATTTCATAAGATAAAATATTTTTGTAAATGAGAATGTGGCAAGCGAGCTGGCGGTTCACCACATGTTAAGTGACAACCACCGCACATGGACATTTGCAGTACCAACATGTTGCAGATGCGTTGTCACCTTCTAACAAAGTACCCAGCCCCAGCTACCTCACTCACCAGACGAAACGCAGAAATGAGGTCATGGTACTCACCCGAACTGACCTGCCCATTCATGCAACAGGTGTTGCGTGGCACTGCCACTGTTGATTTACATTATTACCCTCTCTTATTTCCTTTTGTTAATTATAAAAGTTTCTATAACTTTATTGTTAACGGTTCGTAACATGTGCACCAATTAATTGGGTGTTTGGAGTGAAGAGGTGTTCTGATATCAGAACGAAAATAAAACGTTTCTAATAAAAGCTTGGCAAAAAATTAAATCTACATTTCATTTCACATATATATTTTGGTGTATTTCAAGTTTTGCTGCAACATGACATAAACGTATGCAAAAACGTTCGTTTTAATATATTTTTTTAATGTGCGTCATTCCGATAATTTAGAAATCGCTTCAAATACAAACGGTTTACGTCAAATTACTTTAACTTTTTTTCTTTTTCTATATCTATAACCATATAGCTTATAATCTGTTTCACTAGTCTGTTCTGTTTCAACTATAATGAAATAGTTATTTCGGCTTTCAAGTAATCGGTAACAAATTTCATCCAGGCCGCAATATAACTAAGAAAATCCGTCTCTTCTAAACATTGAATAAACACAGCCTTTACAGGTAGCCTTCTCGTATATGAAAATATATTCACAGAAGGGTGCCTTAGGCGGTTCAGATGAGACTTCACGTCACCGAAACGCTGCCTTTGATCTGAACCGAAGAATAATCCTGACAACCTGACGTTCACCAATACAGGGGCTTTGTGGAAATATCTTTGTAGTCACTCGAAGCTTCAACAATGTTTCAATTTGAGATTTTCTCTTTGCTAGTTCTTATTTAGTTTCGCACAAAAGTTAAGATCACATCCTGTCGCTCCTTCATCCTGTTCTTATTCTATATTGGGCTTACTTTTTCAACCGACTTCAAAAAAGGAGGAGTTTATTAATTATTTAGTTTTATTGTTTATTAATTTAAGTTTGTTACCTCAGAACTTTCGACTGGTTGAACCGAACCGATTTTGATGATTCTTTTTTTATTTGAAAGCTGATGCTTCCCATGCGGTTCCATATTAATGTCATTGGTATTGGATCTTGGGCTCCGGAGATACTTGGGGAACTCCTGAAAATCAATTATAAAATGAATACAGAGCGAGATATTTGAGGTCGGTTTTGTTTTTCGTTAGTAAAAAAATGGACTTGTTTTTTTTTACCGACACAAAAGGTCGATCATTTCGTACTTATTTGCACACATTTTAATGCTCGATATTTAGTGCATAGATTAGCATTTAAATAAAATTAAATCTCTGGCATGAGCAATGGCGACTACTCGCTCGTTCGAATTATCTCTCGAGATATTCGAAATTGTTTGTATGCTGTAAAGGATATACTTGTGCCAAGCTATGCCAATTGCTTGAAATGCGAAAAAACAATGTAGATAGGACTTTGAGATTTTCTTAGGTCTGGCAATCGTCCGTTTGGTCGTTAAAGCGTCTGGGTGCGAATCCGGCAGACGTGGGTTCGATTCCCACAGCTACGAAAAACTTTTCGTACTTTTTCCTACACATTTCAATGTCAATCATGTTGTAAATTGTATTGGCCAAGTAATTTTATGATGTCTACCATGCTTTGGGAATTTGAACTGTGGCGCGGTTGCCATGGTGTTGGCTTCGGCGTCGGGTGTCGTGGGTTCGATTACCACACGGGACAAAATTACAGGTAAATACAGGAAAAATGTAACGTTTTACAGGTTACAGACGAAAATAAACGCTCGTTTGATGAAAAAAAAAAATACACTTCATATCGTACTACACCCCCTCTCCCCCTTGTGAAATTCCTTGATTTTTGCCAAATCTCCCCCCCCCCCCCCCCTCTCAAGGGATGGACGGCCTCTGAGTAACAGCGCCTCCGAGTAAATAACAATAAATATATTAGGAAATATATTTTTTACACGTAACGTAACATAATTATGTACCAAAACAGCTTTGTGCGTCCGTTGTGATGTACGAATAAGGGATATATAAAAATTACAAATACGCTACACTCATAGTTAAACATTTTTCTCAAAGCGCAAGGGACAACTCCACTAAACATTACACTAATCGGGCAGACTTTGAACGTCAAGAGTCATTTATTTTCGGTTCAACTATATTAACCTGTTCCTAAAGGGCTTGTGTAAACGTTCTACCTCTAAGGTAACACAGCTGTCGCTTCCTCAACGTTGGCGTCAGCGACAGCAAATGAACCAGAACAAGTCAAAGGGTGTCATGTGGCGCGGGAGGCGGCCCAAGTCTTCGCTCGGGGCTGAGACACAAAGCGGTCGGACGTCAGGCTTTGTGCAATGGAACTTCAAAGGGTTGACTGGGGATGTTAAGAATCGTTTAAGTATGGGTCAGAGCGACGTAACACTTTGTTGTATTTGATTTGACACTTTGCTGTATCTGATTATACTCGTAAAGGAGTTTAGTACCTGTCATATCCTCCAAAATGTTTAAATGAAATGAAATTTTATCTGTGGTAGGGCCACGCAACAGTGTTCACTGACGCCACGAATTGGCAAGTCCGTCCGGGTAAATACCACGACCCCACAGTAGACCGGCGTAAAGTGTTACAAATAAACGTTTCGTCTGGTGTGTGAGGGTGCATTTGCAACCCTACAGGTGTTGCGAATGTCTATGGGTGGCGGTTATCAATTAACATCAGGTTTAGAATACAGAATTGAAAGGACAGAAAGATTATTTTGACATTTTTAGGCAGTATTTTTACCTTCTTTTCTTTCCCATAATCAATTATTTTTTTGTTAGACCTTACTAAATTGTACTTTTTAATTAATTAAAATGTAAAGAATACATTTTGTTCAATTAAAAAGATAATTAAATTCAAAAGTTTAAAAGTAAAAAGTTTTTTTAGTTTAATTAAAAGTGAAAAGTACAAATCACATACAACTATTCCCACCAGCCGGCGGCTGAACACTTTTGCCTAATATTCGACCGTTCTAAGTGTTTAGGTATTAAATGAATAACATGTAAATTATTACTGTAAAGCACGTGAAAGTAGCTAAACTGCGGGGCTATGGAAAGTCCAGCAATGTATAACGAGAACGTTAAAAATACAATGGATTTTTAATGTTTTCGTTATTGAGCTAAAGGGGAACACTAACACCGCTTGATAAATTATTAATTTCGACACCAGGCTCCGCGCGGACATTTCCTATGCCCAATTTCGAAACGTCAAGATGGCGTACGCGGGCCAATTAAAGTGGACAGGCCGCCGCCTGTCACCGCGCGCCCACTCGCGACAAATTGGAATTATTGCGGCGGTGACAACGGGTTTCGCGTTTGCGGGACTTGAAAGACTTTTACGAGGGAAGATGTAAGGGCGGTGGTGTAAGGGGTGGTCAGATCAGGTGTAACTGCTTTCAACGCTGGAAAATAGTTTTTAATACAGCATGCTCTCGTTATTTTTTTTTTAATTGTTGTACACTGCATAATTATATC